GTGTGGTGGTTCAACGGAATACGGAACTACGGAATCTCCTATTTTGAAATGTGAGTCAAAATTTACTTGTATTTTTCTCTTTGTGACTTTGTATCTGGCTTACATCAGTAATTTGTTCAGTTCACCAGAGTCTCCATAGGGCCGTTACCCACTACAACTGTACCTGACAAATTGGAAAGATTTCGGCCTTGAAATAATCAATTACTCTGCCACCGTAATGGTGAAGGAATTAGAGCGAACGCATACACCAATATATCCACTCACTTTAAGTCACGACGAATAGTGAGAAAGAACAATCTTTGAAATTTCCACCCGCCAACAATCAGATACAAAACATATGACTTGAACAGAGCAACAATGAGACAATCGCCAAAGAAAATCCATTGTACTAAGAGTAGGAGAACAAACGTATGCCATGGCTGAAGCTCTTTTGGAGTCATCTTGAATTGCGCGAACCGACGCGAAAAAAAGGAATTCCTTCGAACTGCCGCGCGTTCTGTAGGCCACTAAAAGGTCAGTTTGGGATTCAACGCTAACAGATTGTTGCACAGGATCGAGACTTCTTCACAAGCACTTCTGGTTCAGTTTTTTACTAGTTTCGGTTCATCTGATAGACACAAGTGAAAAGGGCTTCTCTGTGTACGACAAGCTTCACAGCGCGACTACTCAGAAGAATCTCAAGGTGACTTGAGCTGAATTTTAGATGTGATTTAGACTATTGTGGGGAGAATGTTATTCCACGCCATCCAAAATACAGTGACTACTGTGTGTTATCCCTGAAGGGCTTGATAGTAGTCCATCACAATATACGGATAAGAGCAAAGTAAAGAAACTTTATCCGAGCACCTTCGCTTAACAGGGCATAATTAAGTTCCAGGCTCCCATGGAACCGGTGATTTCCTAGGCGAAAGGGAACATGGAGACTCGGATGTGTTCCATTGGCAACAGGCTCAAGGTGGGAACCACTCTTCATAGCGGCTTGCTGGACACACTCAAATAGGGAAATGTCATTTGTGCGTCCTAATTTTTTGCTAGTCACCCGAGGTCATTCTGGCGATCTAGTTTCAGGATGCATGTTCTTCACTTCTTTCCTCCTGCACCTGACGTCCAGTCAGACTTAGCGGCAAGCTCCTTTATTGTTCTCACTACTTAGTATCATCTAGGCGGGCACAGAGCATTGCCCTCGTCGTTGGTTCCTTTCGAAAATTTCAACCACTAACTATGGCAGGCGGTTTTAATCAACGAGGATGGATTGATCGTATGCCTTAAAGTTGGTCTGTTGTGGGTTTTGCTCCTATAATGCATGAATATCTAGTGTTGTATTTAACTTTGACGAGAAAATGGTCACATACGTTAGACCCAGATAACGCAGATAACGATCATGAACGGCGTCTTCTTACGCTCAGGTCCTGAATAATGCCGATGGGATGCTGAAGAGGGGAGATCTCTGAACCTTTGCTTCGCTATTAAAACGGAGTTGTTTTATCAGTGACAACATTACCGCCTTCGATCCCACAGTCTTGGAGGTGATGGAGCACCTTTGGTTAGGCAGATTTTATAGGAAAGTCACAAATGTAGCTTCCAACGTGAGTGGCTAATTTTGGCTTCCTTCAAATTTTCCATGAATGTGAGAATAAATTTTTCAGGAATATCTTTGGGCTGGCCTTTCATCACCATGTGCGATGGTAGGTCACCGAATCTAATAGTGTTGTATCTACCGGTTACAAACGCCAGTTTTGTAGAAGATTTGTAGGAAGATTGACGAAATATCGATCAGAAATATTTTATAAGGCTGGGAGTGGTCGGCTAGGGAGATGGTCAAGCTGCTCAGAGAAGGGCGGTTACTCTGTTGTAGAGAGGTGGAATATGCGGCGGAGATTGTAGGACTGAACTTGGAAGAAGGAGGTAAGTAGCAGCTGACAAAGTAAGCATTCAAGTGGTCGGCTATATTGACAGGATGAGTGATGAAGCTACCATTGGTGGAGCTCAGACAAGTGGCCTGGTGACAGTTTGGAGTACAGCGCCCACGAAATAGGCGGACGAGTAATTTACAGCTAGAAGGGCCCCTGAGAGCGGTGCTCTCTTCTCAGCATTCGAGGGATACTCGTTAGGATTCTCGGTCAATTGAAAGCTTGTTGATGAGGTGTAATAATGAGAAATCGCGAGATTTCCGATATTCTCTGCCGGCTCGGCGTATTTTGTTTTCCAAGGCTTTCAATAGCTTATCATGTCGAGAGATAACAGGGTGAAAACTCTTGATGTGAGGCAAGGTAGAGAGAGGTCATTAGACCAGGAATATCCGGTAGGTTGAAGTCGCCCAGCACGAATTTAGATGAATGAGGAAGGGCGTGAGCAGTGGAGATAATACGGGACAAGGTAGTTATAGAAGCTGGGGTGG